CTACTGCTGATGAGCAGGTGCTCCGGCGGCACACGCTCCGCGAGCGATACTTGATTCCACAAGTCACAACTCCCCAGGGGTATCGTGAGCGTTTGCAAATGCAGCTCAACAGACATTCGGGTCCCTCCATTCGAACCATTCCGGTTGTACTCAACCCTGGTGAATCCGAGAATGCTTCTGCAGCACAGTTTCAAAACTGGGTGGAGCGAGCGCGGGGGCTGCCGTCCTATAAATCTCTTCGAGCTAGTTTCTCTGAAATCGATATTCGTTTGGAGAGATGCTTGAGCTTGGACTTCGCAAAGTCAAAAGCTAGGCGTCAGCTCCCGGGACCTCGTCCCCAACATCATGAGGCGTCTACACCTCCTGCTCCCCCTGTGAGTACCGATGCTCGTTATCTCGAGCCGGCTGCCCCAGCCACTGGTCAGAGCCTGAGCTCAGCTGCCGACCTGTCTTCTTCCCACCCTAGTGGGAAGCGCTCAGCGCCTGGCGACGCTGTCGCACGCCATGGTGGCGTTCTAGCACCGAATGTGCCTGATCATAAGCGTCCACGACGCCAGGGCAATCTTGCCGGGGGGAAACCTCAAACTCCCAAGAGATATGTAAGTGAGGGTAACGCCTCCACTTCACCAGAAATTGGGTATGACCCCGGCGACGTCGTCGCGCCACAAGGCGTTCCACGTGGTAGCTGAGCTCGCAATGCTCATCGAGCAGAGCTGGAGGGGGGGGGGGCGAATCGCCACTGGACTCTCGTGTGGCGAGTACCAGCGATCTTCGTGCGATGAAACGGCGCGTCGGTTCACTGAACCAGTTCGTTCATGACTCGAACGTTTCTGTTGGCCGCTTGGCGGATGATCTCGAGGAGATGCACCGAAGGGTGGACTGGTTTGACACGCCTCAAGCGATCCAAAACCTGGTCGAGGACCTACAGCGTCAAGTCGCTCAGCTGCAGGGTAAGCAGAAATGTTGCTGTGTCTCCAGCAGCTCGGTTCTCGTCCTGAGGTTCTGTCACTAGCTGTTCCTCAGCCTGCTGTTGTGCCGCGCCACCTGCTGTCTCACAGCGTCCCGCCGTGGTCCAGTCACCCTCTGACGCGCAGCCACTTTCCGGGTCGGCGTCAGCGACGCTACGCTCACCCGAGCAGGATCAAGAAATGGCTTGAGTAAGCCCACGTAAAACACCGGGTGGATGCGCATCTTCTTGAGAAGATTAAGCGTGTACGCTAGACCCTTCCTGACCACGACCTTGAACGGTCCAATGAATCTATGTCTTAGTTTTGTCTTAAAGCCAGCAGATACTGCATGTGTAGGTAGGTTTTTAGCGTTTAATAAAAAGAAGTCGTCGACCGCAAACATTCCCACATTTCCTCTGCTTCGAGCATCCGCATGCACCTTTTGCAGGTCTTGGCTCTCAGCCACGTCGCGCACCAGGCGCAAAACGCTAAGTCTCACCGACCCAAAGTC